ACATTTAATTTATTTCGCAATGAATTCTAGCATTTAATTGTTTTCGTCGTACCGGTTAATTCCAATAGATTTACATAATACCCCGAGCCGATCCGCCTAAAAACTGACCTTCAGTATATTCGAAACAATGGGAAGTAACCAGTCCCCCGGTCCACTCCTTTTTGCCACTCTGCGAGTATACGATAGGAAAATGCAAACAGAAAGGCAAGTCTGAGTGCATTTGCATTTAAATTAATGATTTCGATGACAAAAGGAGCGCAGTCAAAGTCAAATTCAATTTGTCGATTGAGTCACATGCAGAGAAAAAGCGTCAGTGGCTTTGAAGCGCAGCTAAACGCATCCGAGGCAAATGAAATGGCCCAGGTTTCCGGTACTTTTGCATCATTCGTGCCTTATCTATCAATGAATTTAATTTATTAAAATATTTTAATCACTGAAATGTAGATGATAAAAGGTGAAAAGAAAATAAATAGAATAATTGTAATGGATATGACAATTATTGTATTCTGAATACAAAAGGCGATTTTGAATTAAAATTGAGGTCAGAGAGGAAAATCGGTGGAGAATGAAGATCCAATTAATTTTAGTATATTGGAGATCATTAGGTGGATTGTGTAAGAGATTGTAGGGGTATTCGATCCTGGTTAATTACAACACTGTTCAGTGATGTTATACATTATGGAATACTAATTTATAAATGCTTTGTCAATATATTATTATATTTCTATCTATTACATTTATAATTGATTTTATCTTCAATTATATAGTAAATACTAAAAAATATCGTTTATATATAAGGAAACTTTTAAAACATAATGAATATGAAAAAATAGTTCTGACATTGATTATCAAAATATTTACAATGTTAATATATTTTCTTTTTATTGATTAACTGGATTAATAAATTAAAAATCAAATTTCTTACATTTGACTACTTGTTCAAGTATTTGTGTAAAGTATACTAACTTGAATCATATATTTGTTATCAAAATTTCAAAAGTACCAACATAAATAATATATTTCACCATAGTTTCTTTACATACAACTCTGTAAAGAAGAAGTACAAGTTACAACAAGGCTACAGTAGTATTTAATTATTTGAATAATATTTTCCTAAAGATTCAAAGTTCATCGTCTTCATGTTTCACTGCCAATGATCTGTAGTGAGAATAGGAAATTGAAGATTCAAATTAATTATTTACATCAAAAAGTAGTTCAAAAGAAGTACAATGAACTATTTAAAAAAATAAATATAATAAAGTAAAATAACTAAATCAAAAACATATACTTCAATTTAGTAATTAAGTTGTAATACACGATTTATCAATGCAAATCACCTGCGGTATAAATAAGTGCAGACAAACAAATTGCGTCATGACATGCGATTGAGATTCACTCGGAAAATGCGTTTATTTCGTTACTGCAAAATAACGGTGAAATAATAATTGTCGTCCGGTATCATTTTGTTGTTGCTTTCCGGTTGTCGATATTGCAACGCGCGTTCAGCGTATTTTTTTTTTATCCTGTTACCATGGAAATTTCCCATCAGGTGGGATGTGTTTACACTCGTGGCCCGGATCTGGGACGCTCGGAAAGCAAAGGTCATAGGTTATGCAGGGTAATAAATAGGTCACACGGGCGCAGAGCTCTGCCAATGGCAGATCCTCCCATAACGATTATCAATTATATAACCTTCATTCCACCCACACCCGCCCACGCGCCGTCACCGACGCCTGCGATCCCAGCGCGGAAACCCATCCCCCATTTCCCGACGGAACCAACCAACCCCACCCCTCATTCCATCCCTTGTTTAATTTCCCTTTAGAAGTGTCACCATTTTATTAACGTTAAATACTTTTTCAAACTGTCCAGTATGGATTTTCATGCTCTAACATCACATCCATTACATACACCTGGTGCTTTTTATATATTAACTTTTCATATTAAGTAAACTCATTATTATTTATTTAACATTAACTATTTTGTTATTTAATGATTCTAGGAACCTTTGAAAAAGCAAACATATACTTTACAAAGCATAATTAATTAAACTACATAAAACGAATTTGGTTATTACCAAAAAGGGTTGAAAATTTCTTCCATTTATATTATTATATTAACTAAATTACGAGATATCGGTTCACACTTTTAATTTGGTAATTAATCATTTCAGTTATGTAATATGTAATTATTGAATAATTTTCGCAAACAAATATTGTTATTTTAATTAATTTCATTAAATCCAAATTTCAATTAATGTGCAATGAACATTATTTGATATATGTTAATATTTGCAATATGTAATATCAGATTTAAATATATTTCGCGATTACCAAATTATTACATACATAATCATTAGTTATTATTAATTGTTACTGTATCTGAAAGAAATGTAATTTTTAAAAAATGTTACAGGCTCTAGGGGAATTGTTGTACACACTGCAAGTAATGTAATTTGCGTCATATTAGATGTGGATATTACAAAAAATTTAAATATTGTTTATACCTTGCAAATTACTATTATATAATTACTATAATACAAAATTCTCAACTATATTCTTTTAAATTTGAGTATTTGATGAGAAGGACAACAGTCCTGAGGACGTTTTTTAGATGCTGCAGATGGGTCAGGATGAAGCACGAGGCAGAGACAGAATTGGGAGTCGGAAAATTTTGTTAGCGAAATGTTGAAGAATATAGAGAATTGGGAGATAATATCAACATATGTAACATATGTGCTACTGACTAAAGAAGAAGACGATCGGAGGCTGTAAAGGTCCTACTATGATAGTGGCAATGGAGGAAAGTACTGACGCAAGTAAGTGAATCAAGGGAATTGCCACACAGGCAAGGACAATTAGCATCGCTGAGGAGTGCAGATATACAGGTTCTATATGCTGATGAAGAAGGGGAGAAGTTTTAGTGAGGTAAGTACAGGTACAGTTGTATACTCCGTTATCATCATTAATTTCGGTTAAAATGTTATTATTTATTTACATACATCCAGTAAATAGATTAGATTTGAACTCACTCCCAGTATTTAAGAACTAATTTAAACATGGTATTAGTTGAGATCAATAACATTTCTAAGATCATCAAATATTTATAGAAATTAATGACTTCTAAAACTAAATGGAAACTTGAATATACAAAATAGTTATTGGCAGAACTATATTTGAATAACATATGCGTACAAGTAATACCTTTACGTAAGCAAATTCGTAAGGTTTCTATAACTAAAAGTGATGGCATTTGCTTGAAATACATTTATATTGTTTGATGCAATGCGACTACGCCATATGAAGTTGCTTGCATGTGGAGACGCTTTTGGCCAATTTCCAAGTCTCCAAAACTGCGTCAGATCGCTCGGAATGGAAATAGGGGCAATTTTTCGAATGCACTCGTTCCCATGAAAAGACGCCACAGGATGAGGTGGAGCTGCTAAACGATGCAAAATATTATTACCAGTATGTAATAGACAATTATGGGTTATTATCGCGATTCCGGACACGAATCGCATCATCATTTCACACTATTCCTTTTAACATCACTCTTCACCAGTAGAATAAAGATATAGAACATTAGTTCGCATATCAAAATTTTTATATAAATAAAAGTCAATTGTTCAGTGACCTGTGAATCAGCTTTGATTTAAAGCAAAGCTAATATTTTGTTGAAACTAATGGAAGATCAAAGTGGATAAAAATTGAATTGAATCGGATTGCAAACTATTTGTAGCAATTAGTGTTGGATTTACTGAAATGCTTGTATGTGTATGCTGTAACCTGATTCCTGGGGCGATCTGTACATGCACGTAAATAGGTCACAGCCTCCCTCTCTCTCTCAATCTCTCTCTGTCGTACACATTCAAATATACATACATACTATACCCATTCGACCATATAATATCTTGACTATTCCCGCAAAGATATACTGCAACCTAATTAGATTCTGGCCTCAATCAATCAAATGTAAAGCAATTCGTAAATTATCGGGCATCGCAATCATCCCCAATACTTCGACGCCGCGTCCGTTTCCTCGTTTTGTATCCATTTCCCCCTCACGCTCTCTCAAACACACACTCAATCCCCAACATTTCGCAAATTGTAAACCCGCAGCAACACTCAAGGATAACATCGTTGCAATTAGTGTCAAATTGCAGACGCATAAGTCAAGTTGAAGGCAGCACGAGGAATAGAAAAAATAATGTGAATGTAGGTTGTATTAATATAATGGCAATATAATTATTTACTTATTCTGTCCAAATGGGCCTTGCACGTTTCTCCTTCCGTGCAAAAGCTTTAAAATGCAGAGGAAAAATATAATGCATTCCGTTTTCCTTATGCAAATTCGACCGCATTTCATAATGACTTTGACTGAAAGTATCTCATTTTATTTACGAAGCACCAAAATTTTTAAAATAAAATACACAGATTTTAAACGGAGAAAGAAAATTTACATAAGAATTCTTAATTTTCAAGAATTATATAAGCATCAACCTCGGTCGTTAGCCCTTTGGCCAGCGTATTAATATATATATTTTTTATTGTATGTAAAAATTTATTTATGTATAAATTATACTTTTTTTTCTTCTTCTTATGTATTGATGTTTGGCTAATAAATTATTATTATTTTTATAAGCATCAAATAAAAAAAATCAAATTTGATGGTATTTTATAACGACTTTGACTGAAAGAAGTTATGTTATTTCATTTAGAATAAAATCTATAAAGGCAATGACATTAATACTAGACTTCTTAATTTCCAGGAATTAGATAAGCTTTTAAATAATTTTACGAATTTTCAAACTCACTTTGACTGCAACTTTTTAATTTTAAAACAAAATACACATGACGTAAGATTTACACTAGAATTCTTTATTTTCAGGAATTAAATAAGATTAGAATTACATATTGAAATAATTCTATAAATTATATCGAGTGAGTATAAATAATACTAAATTTCTGTGGTGAATTATATGAGCTTTAAATAATTCTTACCTATCTCCAATATGCTCACCACGAGATAAAGTTTGTCGTGAATCTGAAAAAAAAAAATAAAAATAAAAAAAATGATAGGATAGGATAGAAGGATTGCTTAATAGAATTTAAGTAAACAGTTGTAAGATAGAAATTTGCATGCAACCCGTTACCAATTAATTAAGCGACCGTAGATGAATTCCGAGGATTTCTCATGAATGCCAACCGATCCTATAATTCGCGGAAGAGATGGTTATGTCGGAGTGTTATGGCAGTGCACTACTACAATTTACATCTTTCACAAAATGCATTCCCGAAAGCATACGTTAATAATCTCCGTATCTAATTAAACTTGAATTATATATACGGTGTGGCAATAAAATTATGCAATTAAAGTGCGGCTTTTCAACGCGTGCCATAAACTGCCGTATCTATAAACATCCTTTATGCAGCTTTTCGCTCCAAATTATGAATCGTCGGACACTTACCTACGGACATTACGAAAACAGCTCAGCTATGTTTGCATATTAATGCTTTCATTACTATCTAATTGCGCGCACACAAAAATATATAAATAAATACAACCGACGAAAGGTATTCAACAAAATTATAATCCGGTGCATAACTTTGCTGGAACGAGCAGCAATTAGTGGAGGTAGTTTCAAAGAAAATTGAAAAATAAATGCAGATTTCATTTCAATATTTAAATTATTATTTTTGTGGAATTTACTTTTTCTATATACAGACATACCAGAATTAACGTTACCTCCGGTAACGAAGAATCGAGGTAATAAAGTACGTAATTTGAAACACCATTTAACATAAAAAATATTTCAATTTAATGTCCTAATTCACCTAAAATATGGCCGGAAATTGTACTATAAGAAGAAAATAACATATAGGAAATCGAAAATGTTGCAAAAGACGCAAGAAGGTCAAAAATTTAAACAATAAAACTGTATTTTCATTGTAACGAAATTACCTACAATTACCGATCATGCTATGACTCCAGTTTTTCCATTGTTTCTCGATTGATACTAAACAATTTTGGACTGAAATCATGCTCAAATTAAACAAGCATATAGTGAGAATGGGAAACTGGTAACTCCACTAACGAGTAGTTTTGATATTTCAGTGGGTGCGAGAGAGATAACGCATGACTACACGTTATCTCAATGTCTCTTTTTGGTTTGCATGTATTGATTTTGGTTTTATTTTAGAAATACATAATTTATAGACGTATTTATTTTCTTATCCACTCTAGTAACGTAGGTCCGAGAAAATGTTAGGTTAGGTGAAGTTGCCCTAAGGTTTTATGTTTAAAAATATATACAAACAATTTTGTTATATGGGTATTTTCATATCCAGTGGTCTAGGTCAAGTTTCTGTTAGAGGTTTTTTTTTTAAATAACATAAAAACAATTTGGTGATATGGGTATTTTCAGATAGAAAACTACAAATTGGTGGAGGTATCGTCTAATAAAACAAATCGGTTTTATTGAATTATCTCACATTATCTGACTTGTTATATTTTATATGCAATACTACTACGAACCATACATTATTTTATTCAATGAGATGATAGTTGATTCTTATGGGTTTTAATATTTCATTTGTTAATATAACAATTGTTTACTTTGATGTAAGCAGACTGGATGGAATAATATTGATAGGCTTTCTAGACGTATATCATTAATATATTGTCGTGTCCCGGGGTGCACCGTGGATTATCTCCTAGTTATGTCGTTGTGGAGTCTTATAGGGGTTTATGAATATTAAATGCAATATTCTTAATTAGTTTTATTGTATATATCGGAGTTTTATTGAGAAGTCAACTATACAATAGTTGATCTTATTATTAACTAAGAGTTACATTCTCCTCTTAAGTTAGTATTAGTTAGAAGCTCTTGCTTGGACTCTCCCAAGTATAACTAACTTCTCAGTTCGACCCTTAGCTAAGACTAAATTATATAATACAAACATGTGTTCATTTCAAAAAGGGGCTGCGTGGGCGAAAAGGGTTTGACCTTGTGGAAAATACAATCGTTTCTTTATCTAAGTTTTATGATCCTGCCCAAATATTTAGCGGCTGAAGAAGGCTGTTAAGTGGTGATGCAATAGACGCAACTATACGATTTAATGTGTAATCGTCGTTCGGAATATTCCACAAGTTATTCTAAATAATCACGTACAAGTATCCGTTTGTATATTTGATCGATACGTTAAATATTATTTCTAAAAATTAAGAGGAAAGTCATGGCCATAACAAATATACATATTAGTTATACAATAGATGACAATAAATTGGTCGGCCACGACAATATAGAACAATTTAAAATACAAAGACAACCTTTAGCATAAATATTTTAAGTGCCTCTTTTAAAAGACCATGTTTGAATATAATGAAAAACATGTATATTTAATAAATGAATAATCAATCAATAATAATTACCGGAGGAATAATGTTGTCCACTTTTAATTTATCTGTCCACTAGTTGAGAGTTTTGTTTTATTATTAATTGTTTCGATTTTGAACAAAATTATATCCAAATGTTTTATATTTTACACTTTTTTATCATTCATTCATTTAACTACAAACTATGAAATATTGCATAAATTATGAACAATTTCTAGCAAGATAAAAGGAGACCATACAGTACACAATGTTAGCAAGGTAATGCAGAATGTATGTTTTACATTGTAACAGATACAATTGTCTAAATTGCTAATCTGAATCAGCAGTAAACGTCCTTAACCAGATTTAATGTGTTTTCGTTAATGAAAAGGAAAGGATCTGAAGTACTGGAGCATAGAAATTAATCCACGTGGGATCTCTCCCTCTCTTCAAGGGCGAACGCGATTACACAAATTGTACGTTACGCAAATCTGCTAAATTAATTTCCACATTTGCGCGCGCGAGGGCGGACCAGACCTCTTTACTAGATTTATGCCCCGCAGAAGCAGTAATTGTTTCATTGTCCTTTATTTAAAGCCAGTTGTGATTAATGCCCAGGTCGGAGGGGCATAATTAGTCCGCATCGTTTGCTTCATTGTTGCGTTTAATTGCCGTATGTTCCACGTGGATTTCAGCCTGCAGAAAATTGATTCCCATCAAGAACGTATTGTTGTGTCGTAGTATATGAACACATGTGTAACTTGTATCCGCTGCACCCACGCAGCCTCTCATTAGGACGATACGTAATATCCTGACATTGAACTTAAACTTGAAAACTGGTGCCTCGCAATGAATCATTGCTTTACACGCCTCCGAATGCGGTAGTATTCATATTCATCATCATCAACGTGAATCGCGAAAGCTCTTGTTTTTTGAGCTGTTAAAGAAGATCGGAGTAATAACTTTTTCGACTTCATGAAATGCCTGTAATCAATGTCAAAGTATGACATTCGCTATGCCACGAAATACGTTTCAAAAGTTGTTTTGCGCGTTAAGAGCACTTGAGAAAATGTATAAAGATGCATGAAAAACCCGTGCTTTGCAGTACAATACCTAGGTGTTTCGTAATTGTAATGGATGAACGGACGACTAAGAATACACGAGAAGCTGCAATATTAAGATAATGGACGAAGAAACTTTGGAGTGTGTATAAACAAAACCGGTGATGTAATTTATGGTTAATAACTGGAAATGGCAAATAAAAACCTAGTTGAATAACATATACATGTCAAGATATAATAAAAATAATAAACTCCAATTTTATAGAAAAAAAAATTTATATTTATTATTATAATATTCGTTACATACAAAATGTAAATCTTAATTTCTTCAGTTTATTATATAATTTTCTTTTAAAAAATAATTTACGATTAATCTAAATATACTATTATGTAGATGTAATTGATATTATTCTTTATTAATGAAGAAAAGGTATTAAAATAGTTGATTTAGTTAATATTTTAAATAGATTTTCAGTAATTACATTCATTCATTTCAGTAATTTATAACCATTTATATAATTATATATGCTGCTACCCTGAACTTACTAATATATGTACTGAAATTGGTTACTAACTTAACCTAAACCGAGATCGCAAAACCGAATCAGTATTTATAATAAATTATATTAACATAAGTTGATAATGAATACTATTGCTGCCATGGCATCAGAGAAACGTATTAACATTGGTTATTAACCTAACTTAATCTAACCTAAATCGGGAAAGAATATTGTATTTATATAATCTGTTATTTAAGGCTACTGCCGTCGAATTAATCGTATTGAAATTTGTTTCTAACCTAATCTAACCTTAATTAACCGAAACTAAACTGTATTTATAATAAATTATGTAATGACATTAGTTTAAAAACTCATAAATGTATTGAAATTGATTATTAACTTAAATAAGCTGAGAGTGTTATATCCTAACCTAAGCAAGAACGTAAAAATGTCTAACCTTATTTTGAAACATAATTATTCAAATTAACCAAAATATTCAAACTTACTACTTTATTGACAACATTAATTGAAATATTTAAACATAATGTCACGTACATTACAAATATATAAGGTCATTTACATAATGTTTCACAGTACTATTTTTGAATTACATCTTAATACGGGTTACATTATAATTGTAAAGTTGTAGTTCCATTGAATGCTATAATTTATATTGGAAATATATGTGCATACATATAAAATCACTGTGTAATATATCTATTTATAATTGGATATAATTAGACAATAGAAATAGATAGTAAAGTTCATAGGAAACGAGAAGGAATGATGATGAACGGTGCGATGGAAGAAACCTTCGAAACATTGAACCGTGCGAGGACAATCTATATGCAAGAATATTTAGCACACAATGGCTAATATACATTGATGTGTATTATGTCGGAAAGAGTAGTTGATGGATTTGTGAGAATAAGATTCAAACGAAATAAAGAGGGTAGAGAGGAGGAATAACGAGGCAGAGAAACTCAGTCTGCAAACCTTGGCAGTAACGTAATTACAATTCAGTAGACCATGACAAAATACGTCGGCTTTATTGAGCAGCCTATCATCCAGTGATTTCTTCATTCATCTCGCTCAATCCCATACGTAT